TTAACCTGTCTTTTGGACCTCGATTAAAATTCGACTTTTAAAATATGGATCTAAAATAAAATCCAATTGATATAGTGGTTGCATGATAAGTCTTTGTTTTATAAGTGACCTCGTTTTTTTATAGGTTTTTTGCATTTGTATAACCTTCCGAAGTTGACAAAATTTTATTAATTTTAGGTTCTATAGACCAAATTTTATTATATCAGACTTTGAATATTGATAAGAAAATATTTATTTGCATATAGGGATTTTATTTATTGATAATAATTTGTTTAAATATGGTTGGTTCATAGACATATACTTAATTTCATCATATGATTATAAGAAACTTTGTATCATGATATACACTGATTTCCATAACATTGTAATGTCTTTCTTTAGAAAATGTCTAAGCTTGATATTTGCAGCAAATTGCACAATATTTTAGAAACTCTTTTACACATAATTGGAAAATATTATCAATAGATTTTACATCATATATTATAATACTACTCCCTTTTTCCCCCACTCCCTTCATACTCTAGCATATCAAAATTAGAACAAAGGAATACCAAATACAAACTGCCCTTTTTAATTTTAATGCCAATCTTGAGTTTTAACCTTATCCCCCTTGGTAAAAAGGCTTGTTCGCGACAACACTATTTGAATGGTTAAGCGTCCTTTTATTATTGGTAGTTGGTAGTGTTGTTGAAAGGTTCTATTTGAGTCGATTTCTAAAATGGCTAATTCAATATTTTAGCCCGAAAAATATTGCCTAAGCCTCAAAATTTCACTAATAGATGTCCAAATCCTTTTGCCATCTATGAGCAAAATTTTATGGTTTGAAATTTTTTTTAGAGGTATATTGAGTTAGCCGTTTTTAAAAATAGGCTAAAATCAAGCCGTTTAACAACATTGCAAGTATAATTATCATTAATATTTTAATTTCTTCGTATAGGGCTAATTATTTATTCGAGCTTTCCTGTTGGGAAGGGGAGGGGGTGCTTCTTAATAAGAAATTTCATGATTAAAGCAATATTTCTGCATAACATAAGGATTTTCATGATCTAAGCTTCCTGAGAAAGATATCTTACATTGCTATCATATTTTTTTACAGGGCCTTGCTTTCTACTGTAAAAAGAGTCAAAAAAAAATCAAGAGCCTTAGCTCTATTTTCAAAAAAAAATGTTTTTAAATCCAAGCAACCTTAGCTTAATTTTCAGGTTCAACTAAGTCTGTCTAAAGACCGATAAATATAAAATTGTAATTTTATACAAACTTCCCGATATAGCAACTGATGAATTCATTTAAGATGATGCATTCGCGATAATGCATTCGCGATAATGCATTCGCGATAATGCATTCGCGATCATACATTTGCGCTAATGCATTCGCGTTAATGCATTCGCTATATTAAATTTGCTTTAATATTTTCGCGATAATTTATTCGCTATAATGCATTAGCGGTAAAACTTTTGCTGCAATGCATTCGCGATATTGCCTTCGCGGTAATATATTCGTGATAATGAATTCGCGCGATGTAATGTATTCGCTATAATACATTGGTGATACTACATTCGCGATACTATTTTCTCGGTATTGCATTCGTGCTAATGGATCCGCTATAATATTTTCGCTGTATTATATTCTCTATAATGCATTCGCGTACATTCGCGATATTATAAGGCATTAGCGGTAATATATTCGCTTTAATGTTATTTCGCGGTAATCGACATGCGGTAATGCATTCGCGATAATACATTTCGCGCTAAAATTTTCGCGGTATTGGCATGTAACCATAAATTTGTATAAAAACTAAATAAAACATAAAATAATATAATTTTTTATTACCCATAAATATAAAAAAAATGCAAATATAAAATATAAAATAAATAAATTTATATTATATTGTAATTAAGTTCCTACCCATCCAGCATTGTTAAACGACAATTCGGTAGGATCTAATTAAGCTGCGATTTATTTAAAAGTTATATTTTATTAATATAAAAGCAAGTTTTATAAAATTAAAGATCGTGTTGATGGTTGATTCGCAGAACATTTACCCTATTGATTATTGTATAAATTTTATCCTGCCAACAGATTATGGAATTTTTTATATACAAGAACAAATCTTATAACATAATATTGGTTACAGGTGCATAGCCAGGAATTTTCTACGGAAGGGGAAAGCATGCTTTTTTTGCAGTTTCTTCCTTGTAGCGCAAGAAATCTCAGAAATAATTCTATTCAGCAAATTCTCTCTCTATGGATATCTGAACATTTCATACACTTTAGAAATTTTGCCTAATCATATTATTAGTAGGATAAATTAAATAGAATTTTTTTTGGTTGATAAAATTTATACCCATTAGTGTTTAAAGTTTAAAAAAAATGTAAGAAAATATACTTTTGTATCGTGGGATAAAATATTAATGCACAGGAAGAAATACTTATCTTTTTGCTAAAATTTAAAATAGAATATAATTTATTTGAAATAGAATACTTTACAAATCACGATCCATGAAAGCTTAAATATTTTGCTAGTTGAGCGCCTGTTAACTATATGATTATTTCAGTCTATATAGCCCAGTAATTGAATATTGTTTGTAATTCAAATATAAAAAGGATATAATTAACATTAATAATTGATTTAATTTTTAACCTGAATGATGATAAGTAAATAATATTTTAAAAAAAAATAATTTCTCCGTAATTTATAGAATAGTTAATTTAATAGTTCAAAGTTCTGATCTTTTTAATATTTAATTGTTTCAGTCTTTTAAGTTGACATATTTGATAAATTAATTTTTATATGGAAGATTTGTAAGAAGTTTATTTCCTTAATTTTATTTGTTAATTTAGCATTACAGAATAAGCTCATAAAATTAATTTATATAAATGATGATTTAATTTTGTGATCTTTATGGGGCTTAATTTTAAAACTTGGCCCAGAATTTCGGGCCCAATCGATCTTGAAATTTTTTTTTATTTGTCCCCGAAAAGCCCTACCCGAAATAAAAATTAATTGTTACTTACGTCTGAATTTAATTAAATATAGAAAAATTAAGTATTTGTTTAATTGTAAAGAAAATATTCTACAAATAAAAGATTGGAGATCTTTAATTTAAATATCAGTAGATATTCAATTCTAATTCCCATTACTATCTTATTTTAAGATCTTCTGTTATTTTTCAATGCGGAAAAGACTTACATTTATGTGTATAATAAATAGGTGTGAAGTGAGATGAAAATAATAGGAATTTGTCACGATTAAAGTTTGATTTATCATCTTCATAACTAGTCTCGTTTTATTTAATAAAAGTAGAGCAAATTGAATTAAAAAGCTCTTGTTAATCATAAAAGAAAAAAGAAATGATTATATGGTTAGTTTATATTTGCAAAGCAAACAATATAAACCATTTGGCATAACAAGTAAGTCTTTTTATACTTGACCTTCAATTGTTCATTTACAAATCGTCACAATAATTTTTGAGATGTGATATCTTATATAAAATATTCGCTATTTTTACCTACATATAATTTTATTTACCAATAATTGTTTTTTTTAATACTATCCACCGAGTTTAGTGAATTGAATGTTTATTATTATATTAGATCAAGGTTTTTAAACCAATGTAATTATTTTTAAAATTTATATAAAATATAATTATTTTTTTCTTAAAAAATGCTTATAAAATTGATGATGAATGCGAAAAGAGCGATTAAATCGATATTATAACTATAAGACCCCGATTTATTTTATTTTCAAAATTATATAAGTAAATTGTAAATTGAAATAATTTTCCTAAAAAATTGTTTTTGCTTTATCGCATTTACAAAGGTTAATTATAATTTATGTAAAAAAATATTTAAAAAATAATTTAACGAAAACAAAAAACAAAATCGATGACCTTACAATTATTTCATGATAGGAAGGAAATATATATTTTTTAGATATAATACATAATACAATGGAATAAATCGATTCTTTCTTTTCATTTTTGTAATTTCACTTTTTAAATTGGAACATGAATTTGTATTTTTAGTTAGACCAAACCAAGATAACAATCAACTCGTTCCTTATTTATTGTTATAATAACTATGAAAATAGAATACCTTTTATAAAATGGTGTCCTCTAAAAGATTTGTCATTTTATAAGTATTATATTATATCCTTGATATCATTATTTCTCTTTATTTTTTTATGATTAAAAATATTAATCTTTAAAATTTATAATTATGTTAGATTTGGAAATGATTTTATTTCATCAATATAAATTTGATATTTTTTTGGTTTTAAAATTTCTATACTAATAATACTTTGATATCATTACTAAAGTAGGCACTCGAAATTTATTTGATTTTAAAATTACTATAATGTGGAATAATAATGGTTTAAATTTGTCTATAAAAAAATTCCTTATATATAGTCAAGATTTAACATTTTTTAGTCATTACACCTATATGTTATTATATTAACCCGAGAATATAATCGAATTTATATTACAGAGACAGAGTTAGGTATTTAAAATATTTTAACTTTATAACTAATATCTCCTTTGCCTCATTATAAATATCCATTATTCTATGAAATACATCTCTAATTTTAAATGTTTATTATTAAAAATTAAAATTTGATTAAATCAGGATATAAATTTATAATTTAATTTAAATTTTAAAGACAAATAGAATATAAACTTAACTTAAGTTATCATATATACACCTTGATTTTTTAACATGGATTCATGATTGATTAATTAATTATATAATCGATTAAGGAATTGGTTTTATATTACGCATAATAAAGTTTTCTTAAAAAATTTATGTCATCTTACAATATAAGATTATGTAATTTTTCGTTATATTTTATTACCTATATAATTTTTATGAAACAAATATTATATATTATAATTATGAGAAAAAAATAAACAAATAAATAAGATATTTACCTTTCAGGTAAAGTCAAAAACATTAAACAATTTTTTTTTATATTTCCATCTATTATAATTATTAGTTTTTTTTCGATAACAATAAATAATTGTATCAAAATATAATCTATTAAATATTTTAAAATTTTTATTTCGATAAACAAATATTATCCACTGTTCTTCACATACTTATCTATTGAATCTTAAAACTTTCCACAATTTAAAGAAAGTAGTAATTATGTTTTTTTAAAAAATATATCTCTTTAACATTTAGTTTAAATACACTTTAAATTATTAGATGAATATTCAAACATCCACACAGGATACCGGTCTATCAGGGTATTCATTATCTCCAGATTCTGTTAGGAATGAATCATCAGATATTTCGTCATTTACTCCTTCAGTCAATAAATTTAAATGGTTTAGTTCTGACAAAAATTTAAAAAAACATGATAAATATGGAAAAACTGAGGCAACAACAGACTTTCAGGATGTAAAATATAATAAGAAGCACGACAACTATCATCTCTCAACTCATGACCAAAACTTTATATCCTCCATGAGCGCAAATGATAAAAAGAACCAAGTCAGTGATTTTTTGTACGCTAAATCTCCGATGTATGATTACAAAGAGGGCGTATTATTCCAAACTAATTATAATTGGCCAGATAAAAAAACTTTCAAAGATGAAAATGACTATATTGTTCAGCAAAACTTTGAAAGAGATGGATTCCAAGAAAGTCATGGAAAAATGGAGAGAGAAACTGGAGACAAAAGAGGCACCATCTCTCGAGAAACTTGGTCAAAAATCGGGAAAGACAAATCAATCCGGGAAGAAAATTTAAAATTCCAACATTATGGGCCTATATCCAATTTACCTACTGCCTTACCCCCAGAAAGTAAAGATAAAATTTTATCAACTTTATATGGCGATGAGCGAGCCGGAAAACTTTTGGAAGAGCAAGATTTAGTCTATAATAATCGTTCTATATTTCCGAGGAATATTGAAGATGTCCTGAAAAATGAGAAAAGATACGATGGGTATTCACAAGAATCTGATAAGGACAAAGTTACGACAACTAAAGAAAATATAGTAGAGCAAAGCTATTGCGATGAGTATATAAGTCAGTCTGGGACCAAGCCTTATATCGTACAACAAATACCAACGGAAACTTTATATAGAGAAACGTCGGACAACGGAATCACTGAAAAGTACTACCGTAAAAATATCGAAGATGAAAATATCACCTATTTTGGGCATCCTTCTTTGGCAGCATCCACCATCAATTCTTTTACCGAAAATACATATGCATTTGATAAAGAAAAAGAAAGATTGAACAATAAAATATCCCTCACAGATTCAAACGATCACATGATATCCATTCACGGCGGTAACAATAAATATCACCGGCAGAATAATACAAAAGAAATATCCGAAGGCACTTTTAAAGAAAAAATTTACAAAAAAAACAAAATGATCGAAGAAGAAGTATTTCTGCCAAATGGTTCTTGCTATTCATCCACGGTCGTGCCCCTCAAGAAAAATGCATCGGTTCAATATGAGATGAAACCCTCTTACAGGGTTGTGTTCGAAAAGCTGACTAGAAAAGAACGGATTACTGAACGTGAAGCTTTGGACAAGGAAAACGCGGCGACTCAAACATACGTTCCATTCCTTCCTCGTCCATCTCCGCCCATAATTAAGGAAATCAGTATGTCAACTCCTTCTTTGGTTGATGAAATCCAAATCCAAACACCCACACCCCCTCCACCTATTATCATCGTTGAGAAATCTGAAGAAAATTACAAAGAACTCTCCAAATCTTTAGGAAATATTGTTTTGAGTATCAGGGATTTGAGTGATAAACTTGACAAAAAACTCGAAGAACCTCCTCCTATTATTTTACCTCCTATGATACCCGAGAAGGCTAAAATACCAATATATATTGATTCCGATAAAGATACAGTATTCCGACCAAAGGTTGAAGAGGAGCAAAAGATAGATCGTTACTATATAGAGACGGATCGTCCTATTGCCAAGGTGATTGACACCCCCATTGTTAAATCACAAAGGAAAAACATGAAAACACGAAAAATTAAAAAAGTGAGGATGGAAGAAACTGAAAACATATTGCAACAATATCCCGATTACCAAATTAATCGCAGTAATTTTTACTTCGGGGACGGTTCGGAGGCTGCCTTAGAAACTGGAAAAGGAAGTTTGAGTAAAGCCACTCATTTGCAAAATGGAGATATCGCAAAAGACGTATCAGAAGCATACTACGTTAAAGCATCTGTTAATGGAGGTCCATCTAATTATAAACAATATATGGCTTATGAGCAAAAAGCATCAAGAAAATTTGAGCTTCCCAACATTGAATTACCAAACGAATCGGACAAAAAGATGATAGATCAAAATTATGGGGGAAACATATATAAAAAGTTGGATTCACCTGATGGAAAACTTATAACTCATACACATATGATGAAAGAAAAGGCTGAAAATACACCCGATAGTAAGGCGAATATTATAGAATCAGAAGATGAGCCTGAAGTCGTAGAATTTTATAAAAAGACACAAACTCACAAACACAAAAAAATTGTTATAAAGTCTGACGCTGGGGGCACAGAAAAGATAATAACGGAAAATATATATGACCCACCTATTATAATTACTAAAAGCTCGAGATCTTCCGACGGTAATGATAACATAAGGATAGAAAAGGAATTTAGTCACGAAAAATCCAATTATAGAGGTGATTCTTCGCTCTACAATAATAGACAAGCAGAATGGGCTAACGAGAAATATAATTCGAATTTTGGGCCTCAGAATGAATCATTCGTTTCCACAAACCTGTCTTCGAAAAAAAATGAACAAATATTAGACGATGACTCCGGCATCGTGAATTCATCGCCACCTTACCCTCCTTCAGTGGGAAACTTTTCGCCTTCTTTGAGGAGAGATTATAATGTTAGCAGGACACCGGAAAATATAACGTTGATACCTAATAGGTTTAGAGATTCTTACCAATATCGAGAAGGGGGCAGTAATACAAATGTAGACAAAGAAGGCAAATATTGGCATTTCAATGAATCCAACAAGCAGTATCCTTATCCAATAGCTCCTAAATATAGAGATAATTGGCATGGAGGTTATAGGCCAACAAATTATGATAAAGCCTGGGAAGATTTGAGCGAGAGACAAAGCCAAGTTGATGACAGTGAATCATTGCGAAATTTTTCTCCCAACATCGATAACAATTACAGAACCAATAAACTTGGCCCAAATAGATTAGATATTGAAAAAATGTCAAAAGAAGAATTTAAATATAAAAATCCCTATCAATATTCCTATGATCAAGTTAAAGAAAATGGGTTTAACTCTAATTCGTCACCCGAACGTGGTCCATTTAACGAAACAAATCACTATCGATCCGATTTTCAACCCAATTTTTATGTGCCAACTATTCCAGCCGTCAGAAATGATAATAGAAATACGCAAATAATTGATAGGGATGGTAATTTGACATTAGATCAAAGACCTGATGGCAATTTCGAAAAGTGGAAATATGTGTATAAGGATGATAAAAATGGTGAAATAATTGAAGAACAAGGGAAAAAAACTTTTAATAAAATTTCTGCCAATAGCAGAAAAGAAATGGATAAAGAATTTAAAGTTATTAACACTCCCGAAAAGAAAAAAATAGATTTTTCTACAAAATTTTTCCCTAAAAACAATTATGAAAATAAATATCGCATTCAAGCCTGAATGTTAATTTTATCAATATTTTAATATCTTTTTCAATGAGCGTTGGTTAATAATTTAAAATTTTTTAGTTATAAAATCATGATTAAATTTTTATTTATTTTATTTTCGAAATAAAGTTTATTATTATCGATTTTCATATTCTCAGATTTTAATGTCCACTTATTTAAGTATTTAACTTTGATAATTATTTCAGCTATAAGATTCAAAAAAGGCATTCTATAAGAATATTTTGCTTGTTTTCTAATGGCTTATTTCAATCCTTAATAACTCCAAAATAGGTTAAGTTACCTAGTGTCGGTCTCCCTGCGAAACCTCGTAACTAACATTTTTTAAAAATTTTTCAAGGATAAAAACGTACTTTAGGCTAAATCTTCGCAAGCAATTAAAAAAATATAATTTTTAAGTGCAATCCAATTTATTTAAAAAATAAAATAAAGTCTGAAATATAATTCTATGATAGAAAATTATAATATTTTAACACTGACAAAAAATATTTCTTTTATGTAATTCATTTTAATTTTTATTAAAAAATTTTATACCCTAAAACCAAGACAATTTTAGCATTTTTTCGAATATTTTTAATAATTATAATGTATATCATGAGCAATATATCAAATAAATGCTATCCTATTCTATCAGATTTGTAGGTGTTATAACTAGATTAATTATTTGTTGGTTTTTATATAATCTTTTTTTTTGCGAGTGAGGGCTTAGAACACGTCAGATCAAGCACGTAGTATCATTTATATTAATTAAAATATACGTTATTTTATCGTTACTTATATTTATACTACTAGATAACCCATCAAGAATAGGAATCAGGAATTTTCCTTTGTTTGATGACAACTGAATTCTAAATTTCCTCTTTATTTTATATTTGTATGAACAAGAAATGCGCCTATATTTTAAAGAAAGGTAATTAAAATAATTTCCGTTATTTCGATATTTGGTGACACTTAATAATGAGACATTAATCAAGACGACATTTATCATGACGGCATTTATTATAACGATACTTTATCACTTAGTAATTTGATAACATGACACTTCATCGTGTTAAAATTGAACCTGCGACACTTTATCATGCGACACTTTATCATGCGACACTTTATCATGCGACACTTTATCACGTGACATTTTATCATGATATCCTTGATCACTGAATTTTATTTATTTGAAAAGTTAAGTTTTGATGATATATGATTTTTTTTTATTTTTTCGTTTCAATTTCGTTATTTAAAAAATTTTTTTTTCGAAAATTAAAAAATGTGATATAAAATATAAATATATAAAAACATTATATAAGCATAAGATCAGTGAATGGATATGCAGTTGGATTTACATATTTCAAGAAATATTCTCTGCTTGAGTTAAAGATTTTCATTGAGGTTGCAGGAGATGTAAGAAAGTTTTCGCCTAAAGTTTTTAGGAAAAATTATACTTCAATGACAAAGTTACCGAGAATAGAAGTGACAAAAGATAAAAATATGGCTTTTCTAGGGAAGAATATTTGAGAAGTTTATGTCAAATCAGTCTATACTAGTATAGTCCCAAACTATTGATAGTCGTCTAGCCCAGTGAGTCAGTGTTATTTTATATAAACGTTTGCTGACTAAGGTATTGAGTCCTATCAATTTTAGCATTGATAGTATGAGAGCAGTAGATAGGGTCTTATGTATGATAGTATTTATTGCACGATGACGCGGATGTCTGTCTTTTAAGTATCTGCAATGTAATGAATAGGGTCCTTTACTATTGAGAGTCTTGCATAAACTGCAGATGTGTGGGATGACTATATTTGTCTTGAGACTAAGGCCAATTATGATCCATAGTTCTTGTGGTGCCCATATTCTTACTTAATTATCATCTTATCTATGAAATATAAGCAATAAGAATCAATTTCATTTATAGGCTTTTAGTAAGTAATCATAAATCAATATATCACAAATAAAAATATAAATATAAATATAAATAAAGAATTTAATTGCAGGAAATATGGACAATCGTTTTAAAAATGTGATTGAACCAAAATCCCATAATTTAAAACAAACACATCTATAAACTCGTTTTTTAATATCTTCAATTTATGAGAGGTATGGTGTTGCACCTTTGAGATGATTTGATAAAGGGTCTTATATTTGTGCATATCTTTTTAAACCTCTCTAATCAAAGCATATGGCAAGAACATTAGTGAATTACGTATAGCTATTAAAATTAGTGCTTTAAACGTTACTTAAAAGAACGTATTATCGTTACTCGTTATATTGTGAAATAAATAACATGTTATTCGCTATTCAAAAATAGTAACTATTAGTGTTACATAAAAAATACTAAATATTATATATAAATACTCATTTTATTTATTTTTTCTCCCATAGAAAAATTATACAAAAAATAATATATTTTAAGATATTTTTATAATAAATTTTATTTATTTATAGCAATTGATTTTCAAAAAAGCGCTTAGTCCTCAACAGAGCTTTGGCTGTGCCAAACACTACAACTGGCGCAGAGAATGGGAAGGTTGTATTATATTTAATAAAAAAAAATTTAAATTGGGAGAATTTTTTAAATATATTATAAATCTTTATTTTCGAAAAAACTTATTAGATAATTTTCATAGAATCTTCATTTAGATCCTAATCAAATTTTTTTATCTTTACCAGAATTTTAATCTCAATTCATATTTTTACCTTCATTAGAAATTTGAGCTGCTTGACATCGAGGTTGAAATATTTGAATTAGAGTACAATCTCCACTTAAAAAGTGCGAACTTAGTCCCCTCAATTTTCTTTATTGATGTTAAAATCATACTTGTGCCAGAGCAGAGTTAAACCATCTCTATTTGAAGAAATAAGCTAAAAAAAAATTTCCCATATTTTCTTTTTCTAAGAAAAGAATTTAATGTGAATACGTTGCCGTTACTCAAAAAATATAAAGGTGTTAACTCATTACACGCTACCATTTAAAACTAGTAACGAATAGCGTTCCTTTTCCCAAAAAATGTAGCAACGTTATTTTATTGATGTTATTTTAGAGTACTAATTAAAATATATAATATATACACGGTTGTAGTTTACAGGGTAAGATATTATAATAAAAACAAAAAGTTAAAAGAATGAAACAATATGTGTCTTTATTTTTACATAATATTTAAAAAATAAATGACGATTCATTAATATATAACTGTTATGTTCTACCTCCCCCCCTCTTGTCCCGTATTTCTTTAAGTTTTTCACCACTTATTTCTTTTGTTTTCCCATCGTCCTTTTTTTTATATTGATATTATACCTTATTTTTATATTGCATTTGAAACTGGTTCTTACCAGTTTCATAAGATTGTATCGCAATTAAATAACAACTTTTTTTTCCCTTTTTGTTTTAAAAATTATAAAGGTTGAAAAGAAAACACCTTTTTGGAGAATTATTTTCTTTCGTTTTGAAAATTTATATTTTTTGGTAACATCGATTTTACTTTGTCAAATAAACTTTGAAAATAAATAAACTTTGAAAATATTATTTTAACTACGTTGTCCAAGTGATTCCATCGACCATCCCGGACCCCCGATCACGGACTGTATTTTTCCCATTCAGACTGGGGGACCCATCGGTCCAAATACTACAATAACAAAACAAAACACTACAAAAATACATATGGTAAAATTTTAATGTAATTTTTTTGCATTTACAATTTTTATATTACTTAAATTTTTTTATATAAAATACAGTTTAATATTTTTTTCAAATATTTATTATATGACATCCTGTTTATTCTAATTCACAAATGTTTAATATACGACAAATTTTATATAGTAACACGAATAATACAAATTCATTTACATCAAATCCTGATCCTATTTATTCTAATTCAATACCTAATATATCTGCTACAAATAATTCCCATTATATCAATTCTCCCGTATTGTATAAAAACATTGAATATAGCCAGAGAAAAAATATTTTTCTTAGACGAGACAGGCATAAATTTACATGTTGTACCTGTTTACGCCTAGCTAACTTTTGCATTGATTAATTTTCAAAGATTTTAGGAAAAAAACTCTATATCTCCGGCTCCAAGAAAAATCTTTATCTCAGGCAAGAATATCTCTAGATCCAATAATATTTTTATATTTATATTTTTTTAATCTTTATCATATAGTTTTTATATATAATTATTTTTAAATTTTTTGCCTTTTAAACAGAATAAAAATAAATACATATTTAGAAATAGAAAATATTTTCAAAATTTAACTTTTCAAATAAATAAAATTTAGTTATCAAGTATATCATGATAAAGTCTCGCGTGATAAAATATTGCTAGGTGGTCTAAAAGTATATATTTATCGCTTCCACTAAGCATAAATTTTTCAGCTACATATACATTTATGCATTTGATTTGTAATTTATGTTGTAAAAAGAGTATACCTTTGCTAGGTACGAGTTTTGTAATAAAAAATCGAAAATAATATATGCAAAACCCTCACCGAACCAGTGTAATTTATTTTAGATAAATAACAAATGCATATGTGTAAATGAAAATGTATCGAAAAGATTTTTTTATTTGTATGTAAATAAATTTTGCTGAGAATATAAAATTGATATCTTGAAAATAATTTTATTTGCAAATATTTTCCAAATAATTTCTGCAGAGAAGTACTAAATATATACTTTTCTAATATATTTTAACAAAATAAAAGGAATGATTCTGAATTATCTCTCATTAAAATATAGGTACAATTGTTGTTCATTCTTTATAAAATAAAGTGGAAATTTCTGATTCATCATTATCAAATAAAGGAAAAATAAATATCTGATTCCACAAAGTCATTCTTGATGAGCTATCTCCTCTTTAATATATCGCTTAGAAGATATTTAAATATGCTTAGGTTGTAAAATCGCATCCATTTTCCCTCTGCTTTAAATCTTTAATTTTTTGGAATCGTAAAAATTTGGCAATTTAAATAGATTATCTTCATAGATATTTTGAATTTTAAACATTTCTATTATATTTAATTTAAAAATCAGCAAAAAATCGTTTATTATCTAGTGACAATAG